AAAGTCCCATGGTTCTTCATCAACTGAAAGATAGCGACGGCTCCTTCTATTTCTGCTAGAAGCACAAAGTCACTGAGATACCCGGGCAATTTGACTTGTCTTTGTGATCTTCTTAACTCCGGTGCTGCCGTTTGTGGCTGTACTTGCTCTTCCTCATAATCTTGCTCAGACTCATTTACACTCTCTTGTTCTGTTTCATTATCTCGTGGGTCACCAAGCTCTCTGTTTTCATTGATCTCTCTATTTTCTTCTATTTCCTCTGTTTCTTCTCCTCTGTCGAGACCGTGATTTCCAAAGTTCCCAAAGTTTAGAATAAACGTTCCTGATTCCATAGAAAGATCTTCTGAAATACTCCACTTCCATCTCTTTGTTTCATCAAACACAACATCCCTGCTTACTATAATCTTTCGATGTGTTGGATCCAAAAGTCGATACGCCTTAGATCCCGGTTCTGTGCCAAGGTACACAAGCATTTTTGACCTATCATCCAATTTTTTCAAGTGTGGTGCTTCGACTTTCGCATAACAAATGCATCCAAATACTCTTAGATGTTCCATATTAGGTTTATTGCCTTTAAATGCTTCATACGGAGTTTGGTTAGCTAAGGATCTTGTTCCTACACGGTTGATGATGTATGTTGCATGCCTCACAGCTTCTCCCCATAAATAATTAGGCATGCTCATGTGCTTTAAGATGCTTCGTGTCATCTCTAGAAGTGTTCTATTCCTCCTCTCTACTACTCCATTTTGTTGAGGAGTATATGGAGCAGTGAGATGTCGAGTGATACCATTTTCTTCACAAAAATTTTGAAACTCCAAGGACACGAATTCTCCTCCTCGGTCTGTGCGAAAAGTGGTGATTGAAGTTCCTGTTTCTTGCTCCACCCGTGCTTTGAAGATCTTAAATTTCTCGAATGCTTCACTTTTCTCTTGCAAAAGAATGGACCACATGTAACGTGAATGATCATCGATTAAGACAAAAATGTACCTCTTATGCGCAGCTGTGGAAGGTGTAATTGGTCCACACAAGTCTCCATGAACAAGCTCCAAGACTTTTGATGCACGATAGGAAGTGAATTTGGGGAATACATGTCTTGCTTGTTTTCCAAGTAAACATGATGAACAAGGTTCCGTAGCTTTTGTCATGCGAGATATTCCGACTACCAGTTCTTTGGTCACCATAG